AGGTTCTGTGATATCAAGTCCATGTGGCTATCACCGCCTTTATTTTCAACTCGAACTCAATCTTTCTATCTGCTGGTGTAAAATTTGTGCCTTAAATCGTATTTGATTTGAATGCTGTAAGTGAATATTGCAGGATGTTGCTTTGCTCACTGATGGTAGGTTCTCTGGAGGTTCACACGGATTCGTGTAGGCCACATATGCCCTGAAGCACAGTGCAGTAGTTTCTCACACGAATTGCTAGATAATTTTGCAATTCCATTGACCTGTATGCCCCCTGATTATAATCTGGTTATTTGTCTTCATTTATGCTTGATATCGGATTTGGTTTTACAGGAGGGTGGCCCATCAGTCTTGTTCAAAACGAGGACCTCATCAGCATCGACGTTCAGAAGAGGGCCATAAACGTCGAGCTGACAGATGCCGAACTGAACGAGCGGAGAAAGAAGTGGAATCCGCCTCCTTACAAGGCTGACAGGGGAGTTTTGCATAAGGTGGGAAGCGATAATCTTGCATTGGAGCCATGCATACAGTGCCTACATTATTGACTGTAGGTTCCTTAATGAACATCTTTCCATTTTCAGTACATCAAGAGCGTGCAACCGGCTTCAAAGGGGTGTGTAACGGATGAATAAAGGCGGTAATGGCCAGCGAACGGAGTAAAAACCGAGTGAAACAGACCATTCAGATCTTTCATTTCCTTTTTGTAGTCTTCTTTCATTCGGGGCTTGCAATGGCTTTCGGACCAGACCAGGGGTTTAATAATAGTGCGCGCGTAGATATATATTGTGGGTTATTTCATTATTATCAACGCTCAATTATGTTATTATTTTTAGGGTAAATTATGCATTTAGTACCAAACTGTTAGTTTTGATCCGATTTAGTATATAAACTTTTAACTTTTTCAAAATCATATTCAAAGTTTAGTTTTTGTTTCATTTTAGTATTTTGACTTTAAAAATTTAGTTTTGATTATTTTAGTACCTGTTTAAAATTTACTTATGTTTTGAAAAAATGAAAGCTTAGGTATTAAAATTGATCAAAACTGATAATTTAGGTGTTAAACGTTTTAAGTTTATAATGTGGGATACTAAAATGAAATAAAAATTAAATGTTAGGTATAATTTTGAAAAAAGTGAAAATTTAGGTATTAAAACAGATCAAAATTGATAGTTAAAGTATTAAATGTGTAGTTACCCTTTTTATCAAGATTGCTTTCTTTTGTTGATGTGGTATCCAATAATGGACGACAACAATTAGTTGTTAATGAGAAATATGAAACTATAAAGTAGTATATTTAAATACTCTTAATCATTAGATATAAATGAACAATTATTTTATTACAGCTGGTGTTTGAACTCGTAACTTCTAAGAATAATAACGATTATTTAATCATTGAGGTAAGTTGGTCATACATATAATACGTAATATTATATTATTTATCATCGATCAAAATGATTTTTTTCTTCTTATTCTTACGTTATTGTCATAAGGATGAGTAGATACTTTTATTGGTAAATTACACTAATTATCACCAAATTTTATTCTTTCTCTTATTTTACTAATTATAATTTAAATCTATTTAATTTTTTCACTGAACTTAATACATTTGATTTTGTTGTCATTCCGCCGTTAACTAGTTAACAACGTTAAAAAGACGTCGTTTTAGAAAATGAATTTTCACCAAAACGAAGTCGTTTTGCATCTATATAACAACTAATTTATAACACCGTTAGTGAGAAAATAACGGAGTGACAAATAAATAAATAAGTTCAGTAAAGAAATTGAATAGATTTAAAGTACAATATGTAAATAAGAGAGAGAATAAAATTAGTGATGATTGATGTAATTTACCTAATTTTATATAGGGAAGAAAAATTTTAAAAAAATATATTAATAATTTATGATAATAGAATATGATGTTTAATAAATAGAAATAAAAAATAAATATTTAAATTATTTAAATTTTAGAGATACTATCCCAAACACATTTTAATCTATTTTTTGCTTGTCGTTGAAACATGATACCATACATCCTCTTAGTGGCGGATCATAACCAGGGCTAGGGTGGCAATGCCCCCAAAATTTAAAAAAATTAGAGTTTAGTTTTTAAATTTAAAAAAAAATTAATTTGATATCCAAAACTTTTAAAAATTCAGGTTAAACTTTAAAGTTTTTAATGTTCTCAATTAAATCCCCTCCCATAATTTAAAAAAAATTCTTATCAGCCTCTCAAAAATTTTAGTTAGACCTAATATTTTTGGGGAGAAATACAAACTTAACCCTTCAAATTTTTGAAAATTTTGAAAATTTTAATTTTAGTTCGATATCGAGTAATAAATACCCACCGCTCTGCTACTCAGCCCTAATAAATAAACAAGACCCGTTATTTTTCAAAAACAAGCCTAGCCAAAATTTTATAGGGCTCCAGTATCCAGATCCAGTTTCGACCCGGACCGGGTTATCCAAATTGAAGATTGGAGAGACAAACCGAAATTTGTAGAGGCGAGGCTTGAGGCTCTTGAGAAGCGTTGATGGCATTGCATTCTTAGAGAATTGAAGGATACAATTTCTTCTGTAATTTTCTTCGATTTTTCCGTTTTCGATCATCACGAACAAATCTGGTAACGATTTTTCGACTATTATTAATATTTTTTTGAATTTCTCAATGTCAAAATTCCTTGATTTTGTTTTTTTTTTCCTTTTGTGACGCTATGTTAATTTTTTTTTAATGTGTGAATCTTGAAAATATTAACCTCGATGCTGGAGAAAGTTTAAAAAAAATCGGTATGATTGTTTATCTACATCGATTTAGATTCAATTTTGTATAATTTATATCAGGAATTCAAAGGAATTAATATTTATATTATTAGAATTAGAAATTTCTGGATATTTTTCTTTTTTAGGGTTTATTTTATTATAATCAAGCTACTATTTGAATAATTGCCTGGGTGTAATAACTGAGAAAGGCTTTTTTCTATGCTTCATAGTAACAATAATTTTCTAGTTGTCAATTTATGTATTTTGATATTTCCTAGCAAGTTTTTTTTTTAAAAAAAAAATTGATTCTTTTCACTATTTTGTATTTATTGTATAAGGCTATGGTTCTTTGATTCCATCTTTGCTTGATATGTGGATGTTTAGTGTGTTCAAAGTTTATACGTTAAATAGGAACCAGTTTATGTAATTCGAAGTTATAAAAAATGCATGAAAGTTCTGCTTCTGTAAGTAAAATATATTTGCAAAATTTTACTTTCGCTTGTTGTATACTGATGCTGTATTAGTCATCTGCAGGAGAGATTTTGATGTCTAACTTCTCTATTGCTTTTTATGTTGCTTATGGAATAATTAACATTTTAAGAAAGTCTGAAAGAGTAATATAGGCGAGTAAGGTATTGATTTTATTAGGTGGGCTAAGTTGCGCTTTTATTATCATCATGAAAAGGTGACCTTTCTAGGGGTGGCATTTAGTTTGGAGTGTAATGTTGTTAATCTGCCTTTGGACCAGATGCAAATTCATGTATTTCTGATTGAAGTTTCATGTGAAGGACTGACTTTTATGTTTTGTGTAATACAGAAAATGGAGGACATGGACATCGATTCAGTAGTGGACATACCGACACTCCTGATAGGCCATCTTTAAAGCAAGTGCATGGAGGGAACTTTGTGGACAAAGTGGGAGTTCTGATACTACAGGTGAAGGATCTTTGGATAGGCTAAGGGGCAGAGGTAGACTGCTTTCTGCAAATGGGCTCATAGAAAAAATTATATGCACCGCGAAAACTGTCTGACAATACTTATGAAATTGAGCGTCTGAAAAACACGATAGTCTTATCTCCAGTAGAGAATGCTCGAGAACATGCTCCTTTATTTAGGAAAACAAGAATAGAGAGAAGCAGAAATTCTCTTGGAGAGCAAGACAAGGATAAAGGAAAAGCTCCTTGCTCTAAGTTACCTTCTAAATCATCTGGATTCCCTGAAGATCATGCCATCCTAGATTTAACTGAACAGAAAACACACAACCATGTAAATGAAATGGAATCTCTCCAAAGTGGATCTGAAAACTTCTTAGCTGAAGGAAGAAAGGTCAGGCACCGAGAAATGGTGGCTTTTATGCATTTACTCTTCAAGATTTTCTGAAACATCCGGAAATAGCTGCAAGGGAAAGGAAAAGGTAGATGATATTGGACTTAAAAGTATAGATTCAGTTATGAGTAATGGAAAAGGGGTAAGTCTTTCTAATGGTTCCCCTCTTAGAATGGAAAAACAATTGCCTGCATCTCATCAATCAATTGCCTCACCAAGAACTGTTGGGAAAAGAAGATTGGTCCGAAATGGCTGTATCTCCCCCCATAACATAGCCATCAGGGCTAAACAAAATGAGCAATCCCAAAGCAACTTTACACCCGAACAAAATTTTGTGAATGTGGATTGCAGCAGTCCTTGTTTGATTAGCGAGATAGTTGCTGAAGATAATGATAATAATGGTAAAGGAAAAAGAGTTTCCCATCCTCATGCATCTAAGGAGCATGATATCAATTTTATTAATTTATCTGGCGGTAAATTTTAAGTGTTGTTCTCTAGCTAGATTTCTTAGCCTATTGTCTATTGGATGTTTTCTTCCTATTGTGTATTGGTTACATTTTTGTGCTAAAACTTTTGCTAAAGAGACAAGCACGTTCTGTCAGAACCTTTGGAATAGCATGTGAAAAAACAACTAGTTTTTTTTTTAATTTTTTTTCAGAACATATTATATTGATATCTGGAGAATCTTGGTTGTGTGGTTCTCCTGTTGCAGTCCTATGAGTAATAATGGAGAAGCTGATGGTATTGGTGATGCGAATAGAGATGCATGCTTTGAAGAAAAAGGTGGATGGAGAAGCACTCGCAACCGTTCAAAGAATGTAGATCATGCAGCTGAACATCAGTAAGTGGGTTTAATAGTGTTGGATGTCAAGTGAGTCAACAAAAGAAAATGGATTTGTGAAAGAAATCATAGTGAAGGAAAGATCAGGATTCTATGTGATTCTCCTGAAACTCATGCAACTGAGACAGCTCCTGTGATCGCAAAAATAAACCAACCAAGTGAACCTTCTAATGCAAACATGCTGCCTAAAAGGCAAATCAAACATGTATTATCTTCAAGAAATAATGGTGAAAGCTCAAGGGCCACTCCTAATGACCCGGACATTGTGTTTCTTTGTTCATCTTTGGAATCATCTACTTCAAGGTCATCTAGAATTCATATTGCGGAACATCCGGATGTTATGGATCTTGACAACTCATCTCGAATGAGAGGGATACATGCCAATCATATGGATTCTATGAATGATGAGGACACAGAAGCTAATGCAAGACAAATTGAAGCGGATGAAATGTTGGCCCGTGAACTCCAAGAACAATTATATCATGAGGTCCTGATCTTTTATGATGACAATTTGATGCTTTCTCCCTTTTCTTTGACTTTTTTATTTACATGCTTAGCTTTAAATGTTTATGAACCTTTTAACAGGTTGATGAAAACATTGCATGGGCACTTCAGCAGGAAGATGCATTCCTTCCTACACCTTTTCGGGCTCTCCATGAGCCAGATCATGTTAGTAAGCTTGGCTTTGTTTCTTTATTTTTGCATTAACCTACACTTGGTGCATGCGTGAAATCCATTCTGGTCGAAGGTGTAATATATCTGCTAGGTTTGTGTACTAATTGAAACATGCCATACAGTGGGCATGAGCCTTGCTGTCAAAAGTAGAATAGACTTGGTTTAGTAATGTTTCCTTGATTATTGCTAATGGATGCTTTTGTTCTCGTTCCTCCTCATCAGTTTCCATTTTTTTATCAGTGACTCTCTCTCCCTCTCTCTCGTAGCAACACAAGATTTAATGTGTGCTTCCTAAGTGGTTATTTTCCCCTTGGTTTCATGTATAATATTGGAAGTTAATATTTCCTTAATCATTGCTAATTGGATTCTCTTGTTCTTGTTCCTCTCTATCAGTTTCCTTTTTATTATCAGTTGACTCTCCTGCCCTCCTCTCCTTTTCTCCAATATCCCTTTCTTGTGAGTTGTATTTTATGGAATCCGTAGATAATTTTAAGTAGGTTTTATTTCAATCGATATGATAGATACTATGTTAGGAATCCATTGCTGAACCAGTATTTAGATGCTTAACAGCTAACCAACTTTATGAATACTCTCTTCTCTTTCGGCAGGGCCAAAATGACCATCGCTCTATTATTCTTTTTGATTGAAGCTAATCTCTGCAGCTGCAAAGATGGGATATCATTGATGCTGTTTTGTGTTGAGTGGAAGGACATTTTTTTGCAGGACCTATATCTGTATTTATCCTATCTAGTATCATGATAATGATATATGCTAGTATTCAACCTAGGTTTTCCTTTTTGTTGTATAAAATAGATGTCCTGCTTACGGTCATTTTTGTTTTATGTACTTAAATATATTCTTTGCCTCTTATGCAGCAAGGCTCAACAAGGCAATCTCGTATTCAGCCTCCATCTCGGAATTTTCAGAATTCTTCAAATAGGAGAGGAGTGCAGACTCATTTCCCCACTTCTGCTAGAGTTTCAAGGTTGAGGAATCGAATTTTGAATCAAACTCGAGCAGCACCATCCAGGACAAGGAATTTTCAATTCCCTTTAGACATGGACTTGGATATGGTAAAATACCCCCCCCCCCCCAAAAAAAAACACACACACACACAGTTTTGGTGTATCATGTATTGCTTTATTTTCAAGTTTCAACAATAACTGATTCATGGCTTTCTGATACAGAGACTCGACATTTTGGAAGCCATGGAGGCTGCACTGGGATGCTGATGACATGGGTATGGCTAGTCGTATCTTCCAAGTTCAACGTGATTTTAATGAGTAAGATTTCTTTTCTATTATGGACATGTTTTGACCCTGTTGAATGATCATACCATGCATTTGATTGACAATTTATTTAGAGTTTGCAATGGTTCCATTGTTGATTGAAATGGTAATTGCTTGGTCTGCGTAGGCAAATGCAGCCTCGATATGGCCCCTGCTTTGGTAAAGACCAGCTCTGGCAGTGGCAATGATAATACAATGGAACAATTTAAATTTTGGTAGACATCCATTCAATTAAATCACCTTCAGTGTTGATTAATCTTCCATTCACTTTATCTTGCAGAAACGATTACGAATGCTGTTGACCCTTGATGATAACAATCATCAGCATGGCGGTGCATCGGTTAACCAGATTAACTGTTTGCCACTGTCCAAGTACAGGTAAATGCGTGAGAAACACCATTTAAATAGTCGTTCTTTAGCTTTATTTCCTCATCAGATGCTTATGTTTCGTTATCAGGTCTAATCGCTACTATTTTTTAATTAACAGACTGATAATTACGAATCTTGCGCTGTATGTCTTGAAACCCCTGCCATTGGAGAAACTATTCGCCATCTTCCTTGTCTGCATAAATTTCATAAGGACGTATGCCTTTCTTTATCTCCACAATGCCACTTTGCTTTCCGTTTTCTCAGATTGCTTTCAAGTTGCTTATCGATGCTTGTTCAATCGATGTGCAGTGTATCGATCCATGGCTGATGAGGAAAACGTCATGCCCGGTTTGCAAGTCATCTATCGCTTGAACGGGAATGTTCCGGCACAATATGGAAGCAAAAGGTCTCTTAAGTCAACATGCTTTGGAGGTAGGTATAAGTCCTTCTCAATAAACTCATAAAACTTCCTCCCAACTCCATTCGAGCCCTGAAGAAAATTTGCCTGTTGACTCGAAATGTAGCTCTCAACGAGGGGAAAGGTTCGGTATATTTGACGAGCGAATAAACTCGGAACTGCATCGGAGCAAAGATGGAATGCATGCTAATGGGGGATCAGGATGGCAATATTTCATTCTAAGCTAGTGTGTAGAGTAATGGCATGCGATTAAATGAAGTTTACTTCGTTGAAAGCAACTATTTTTTGGGTATAAGTATTCTAGGAGTCCCCTCTATGTACCGAGAAGTTCATTTTAGTCCCTCTATGTACCTTTGAATTTTTAGCAAAAGTGATCATGGTTTTGGCACCTCTCCCATATTAAAATTTTCGATTTAATCTTTGAACTTAAATTAACATAATTTTCTCCTTTTATAATATAATTATTAGACCTATTCATATTATGAAATTAATAAATTAAACTATGTAAAATTATGGGGACTAAATCTTTGGATTAGGATATAGTGGAGGGACCAAATAAAAAGTTAAGTGAATTTTAGTGAAAATGTTGAATATGTCATGGATTATAGTAGTGGGTATAAGTACGCGTTCTTATCACCGATAATGTTCCCCCAATTCGCAAGCCCTATGAACCCTAAAATTAAATTCTGATTCATTCCAAGTATATTACATTTGTAACTTATTTTGCTTGTTTACTATTCAGTATGCTCCTTTTCTCTAATGTAAAATCAATATCTATATCTTCAATTTGATTCTGTATAATTTAGTAATATCATGACTGTATTATTAGATCCAAGATTAAGCCATAAGGGTACTTTTACTCTTATAGTAGACCTAATTATCACTTTCGCTCCTATCGTATTTTCGCATCAATTAGGCATCGAAGTGCTCGATTATATCATTCTATACCCTATCTCTAACTTAAAACCTAAATTATAAACACTAACCTTAATCATAACCCATAAAATCTAAACCATGCACTCTAAACCCTAAATTCAACTTAGAGTTTAAATTTAAGATTTTAAGTTAGGGATAAGGTATTGAATGATGCAATTAAACATCTTTGAGGGTTAAATTGATGCGAAAATTTGATATGAACGAAATGATAAATTTGGTATACTACAGGGACAAAAATGACCCTCAAGCCCATGATTAAAAAAAGTACATATTAAAATAGGATAAACTAAATATTTAGTATTTAAATTGTTAGTTTTGATTCGTTTTAGCATCTTAGCTTTCAATTTTTTTTAAAATCATACTTAAATTGAAGCAAAAGCTAAACTTTAAGTTTTGAAACAAATGAAAGTTTAGGTATGAAAATGGACCAAAACTGATGGTTTGAGTACTAAACACGTTAAGTTTTTAACGGTAGGATACCAAAATGAAATAAAAACTAAACTTTACGTATGCTTTTAAAAAATTGAAAGTTTAAGTATTAAAACATATCAAAATTGATAGTTTAAATACTAAACAAATAATTTATCCTTAAAATTAATTAATTAGAGTGTGTAGATTAAATTCATAACTTGTACTAGAGCGTTAGTGGTGGGTGGAGCATCAACTTCAACTAGAGAGGGCCTCTTGTGATTTCTTGTGATAGATGTTGTATATCTCCCGTTGGCTATAGATATTCACGAACAAACTGTTTATTGACTTTTATAAGTTTATTTATCCATTTTTTTTTTTTTTTAATATTTTTAATATTGATTAAGATAAGGACTAAATTGAACATATGGTGAATAACGGTTCAAACAATAAAGCCTAAAGCTAAAGGACTAGTTGTGTTATTTCGTTGTTTGTGAATATATAAAAAACATGTTTGTGAATACTAAACGAACATATTAGTAAACACTAAACGAACATATTCACGAACGCTAAATGAGCATACTAACAAACACTAAACAAATAAGTTCACGATCAATAAACAAAAGAGCACGAATACCTTCAAAAATAAATTATAGAACACAAACACGATATTAAAATTTAAACGTACACAAACCGAATATAAAAATATTAAAAAATAGATAAATAAATACAAGCTTTCAAGTTTCATCTTCTACAAAATTAGATTTAAGGATAAATTTTTTTTACCTTCTAAATGGAAGTCCGTTGGTCGTTAGTTGTTACTGCTCAAGTTCTTCATTGGCGGCAAAGCCGACGGACGCATGTAAAATTCCTCCCAAAAACAACTTTATTACCCGTTTCTCCTCTTCCCGATTTAATTTTTGGTGAGTGAGTCTTGACTCTTGAACCCTTGATATGCTCTTTTTTTTTTGTTTTAAAGTTCAAACTTTGACTTTGGAGTGATCTCTCACTCTCTCTTTTGTATTGCAGTAATGGAATTGGACATATCTCTTCGAATTTTTACCTTTTTTTTAAATTAGTTTTTGCTAGTTTTTTTTTTTTACTTTGTAGAGGAATATATTCCTTTCTTTTTACGGATCACAATTTTTGTTCACATAACGGTTGGTAATGGTAATAGCGTCCCGTTATCGGTGTTATTTATCGTTGTCCACTAAATTGTAGGCGCGACAGATCACTATTGTCGTGAATCCGATATTACCGTTAATTTTACTAATTTTAATTTCGAATAGTGACGCTACCACGAACCGTCGTTATTACTTTTCGTCTCGTTATTTGAATCCCGGTGATTGATTTTAAGGTGGAGGAGATTGGAGCAAATTCAAGGTTGAAAGAAATTTATCAACTCGTAATTTTATAAATTCGACTCAAAATATTTTTAAATAAATTTAAGTTATAAAATATTAATTCTAATAACTCAAAATTTATAGTTGATTGATTTTTAAATCCGAGTCAATTCTCTCAACTCTTAAAACTTTAAGTTTTGTGAGGTGGGCTGTGTTCCACTCCAACTTGAGGATTTTTTTAAAATAAAGTTAAAATATAATTTTAAAGTATATATTTAATTTAATCCTTTTATTTTAATTTAATCCTTAGTTTAAAATATAACTTTAGCTTTATTAATTTAGTCTTAATTTAGTTTAAAATTTGTTTTTCTTTAATTATTGCATGAGATATGTGTTGTTTTATTGCTTACATTTGAGATATACATCGTTAATATATATATATCTATATATATATATTATTCTTGAATTTTTCAGTGAATGATAACTCTTTGATTAAATTGTTAAAGAATCTCTTGTCTCATAGTTATAGCAATTTTATCTTTATCCATTTTAATTCTTTAATTTCTCTATGTTGATAGTCTTATTTTTTTAAATAACAATGTATTCAAATGTCATCATTAATTAATTATCTTATCCTATCATTGGATTTTAAAATCTTTTATTTGGTTATATTATATAATATGTATTTTTCACTTAGAAAACTTATTATGATTATAATTATAATTATTATATTTTAGGATAAATTGTGTGAAATTTAAAAAATTCATGTTCACGATACCTGCAGTGATGCGATGACATCCGTTATGTCTGCAACCGCGATAAACACGACGTGACCACAAACACTGTTTAAATCCTTTATTTTAAATATAAGTCTTTCATGTATTTGAGATTCATGTTCGAGTTCGGGTTTCAATTGAACTAAGTCTAAGAATATTTTGAGTTCAAAATTGAGGATTTTTTTTAAATAATGTTTAAAATATAATTTTAAATTATATTTAATTTAATCCTTATTTTAAAATATATACTTTAGTTTTTATTTAATTAGTTTAAAATATGTTTTCCCCTTTAATTGTTACATTGAGATTCTTTAGTTTTTCGGTGAATGAAACTCTTTGATTAAATCTATAAAGAATCTCTTGTCTAATAGTTAAAACAAATTTTATCTTTATCTATTTAATATCTTTAAATTTTTCATATGTTGATAGTATTATTTCTTTGGTTATATTATATTATATATATATATATATATATATTAGAAACATTCTAAAAATCATTAAAATGAATCTTTATAATTATAATTATAATTATATATTTAAGATAAATTGTGCGAAATTTAAAAAAATCACATCTGTGACAACTGCAGTGACCGATAGGGATGGCAACGGGCGGGTCGGGTGCGGATACCCCCTCCCCCATCCCCATACCCCCTAATATTTTTCAATCCACCACCCGTCCACCACCCATGATGGGTAAAAATTTTTAAATCCACA